AAGTAAATCAGAGCTAAAAAAGTGTAAAAACGCAGGCAAATTTGCCTGTATTCTACTACAATCTAAGGGATAATCAGTAATTATAAAATGCACCTATGGTACGTAGTACTATATATTATACAAAATATTTATTACTATCAGTATTGGTATGTATGTAGAATATTATATAATATTATATATATTATATATTTACATAATATTTATTAATCGATCGATGTTTATTAAATATTTGATCAATTTTTTTTTACTTATTTTAGCTTCGATTAGCTTTAATTTTTACTTATTTTAGTTTTGATTTTCACTCACCTTGGCTTTTATTTTTGCTAAAAATTTATACATTATAAAATTGCTAATATCTCAATAATTTATTAAAGAAATAGACTTTGTTGTTTAAGAAAAATTGTTTTTTTTTTTGTTTTAAAATAACCTCTTGGTCGTGTTTTGCTTTATTGTGTTAGAATAGTCATTATATATATTTGAAGAGTATATTTAGTCATACTTGCATCTTTTGAGCATCTATTTAAGTAGTCTGCATATTTTTAGATTCTACACTATTTGCCGTACTTGCAATCCAACTAGAAGGTTATCTATTTAAACCCTCTGCATTTATGTAGAACCCCGAACAATATATATAAAGGTTATATAGAAATTTTGGTTAAAAAGATTACTTTTTTACAAAAATATTATATTTAAAAACTGGTTATTGGTATTAAAGATTATATTTAAAACCGGATAATGATCCTTAAAGTTATATTAATCAAAGTAGATAAATTTGGTAAATTCACATAAGGTTATATTTAAAAATTGGCTAGCATAATAAAAGAATTTTTATTTTTTTATAAAATTAAAACTATCTGTTATTCATTTAAAATTTGAAATAGTTAAATATACCAAAAAACGTTTATTAAAAAACAAAATGGTAGTTCATATATCTGATTGTGGCACATTAGCAACATGTAAATGTGGAAAAGTTATTAGACTCAAGCGAGCATATGATGAATCTTATATTGAAAATCATATTAATAGTAGTGGTTGTAATTTTCAAAAAGGAGTTGTTTCAATTTTAAACTTTTTTTCAATGGTACCAAAAGAGGATAGACAACCTGTTATAAAGTGGTTTTCTTGTATTAGATTAAATAACTTAGCTCACAAAGCTTATATTAGTTGTGTAATTACTCATACTACTCATGA